GTGTGTGTGTGTGTGTGTGTGTGTGTGTGTGTGTGTGTGTGTGTGTGTTTCCTCTTGTGCATCAAGGAATTGATCAGGAAACTTCAGGATTTTTAAGCAATAATTTACCCGCAGTCTTACCTGTATTTATTGTAACACATTTGTTTGTTTGTTTGTTTGTTTGCTTGCTTGCTTGCTTGTTTGTTTGTTTGTTTGTCAGGGCCATTTTGTGCAATCTTTATCTTTTCTTATCCCCTTTTTGAAAGAAAGTTAAAGCTTTATATGATTTCACGTGTTCCAGCTACATTATGTGTTTGATAAAAATGAGCAGTTCTGATTTTACCTCACATTAGTTTGAAAATAGAAACAGAAAGATTCGTGTTTGAAAGAAAGATCATCAGTTACACTTTATTTATGATGCACTTTCTGTAGATAAAATAATATATTTTATTTTCCATGGAAATTTTAAGATATTTTGCAAATAAAAATTATATTTCTTTATTTTTAGATGTAAAAACTGCATGCTATTCTATACAATTTCTGTATTTATATAGATAATAATAAGAAATACGAGTTTAAAAAGCCAAAGAATGAAGCACAAATAGTTTTATGAATGAAAGTAAAACACTCTACAGCGTGTTATTAAATGGAGATAGATATATCTGCTTGGAGAACATTGATCTGATAAACTTCAGCTAATTAATCTTTCATCTAGTCAGTTTTAAAAATGATTAATTAGTAATAGAAAAATCAAATTTTTATTTTGGGGTTTGCATGCCCTGCCTGCACTGAAAATGGACATTGCTGCAATACAAAAGGAGGAAAATGACAAGTAAGTGATTTAAATATTTAATCCATTTATGAAAAGTGTGCAAACATTTAAAACTTTACAGCCTGGTTAAAAATCAGTTCATGCACCTGCAACATCCTGTGATTCCTCCTCGCTTTATTATTGTCTTTAAAAGAAGTGAACAATTATTTTTCTGCTCTCTGACGCCACTGTAACACCTCTTTCATGGCACATTTGAACATTTTGTACAGTGCTTTTATGTAAATCTGTTTTGATGCTGTCAGATTTATGAATGTGAACTTTTTTTTCAACATTATTCTTTTTCTGCATTCCAGGACCCTAAATAGCATGAGTAAAACTTATTCACAGTGCAAATATGCGTACAAAACCACAGATTCTGTTCATGACGGTAAAAAAACATTAGCTGTACTAAATCATTTAAGAACTGTAAATGTGCTCTGACCACAGATTTTAAATGTTAAGAAACGCTGAGGCTGTTTTCGATCGACTCTTAACTCAGTAATTTTCTGTGACTGTGCAGTGAATAAACAGTGAAACTGTATATGTGACCAGGAGAGCTAGTGAACGTTTGTGTTTGCTGTCATCAAAGATGTTCCTCCTAAAAGCACACCTTCAGTCAGTACCGATGCAGATGTCAGTAACAACAAATCTAGTTCCACTGATGATGATTGTACCAAATCTTTATTTCTATATGTCCCTATTGCCACTCTCTCTTTGTGTGTGGATTCAAATCTGTGCACCGTGTGGGACTTTTTCCATCTTTAGGAATAGATGTGTTTCRGTCTGTTTCAGGAACAAGGTGGACGTAAAGAAACAGGATTTGAGAAAGAAAAACACGTGTTTTGCAGTAAATAATTTTAAATAACTATAACTTTTGTTTGAGCCATAGAAAAGGTGATGACTTGTCTTGAGAAAAATGATTCTGTTTTATATGTATGTGTAATTTAATTTGGATGATGGTAAAATGGAAAATAAAGAAAATACAGTTGAAATGATGGAAAATTGGTGTTTGACTCTTTGTTTTGTTTGGATAAAAATGATGTGTGATTTAGTCAGAGCATTAAAGTGATCATGYASATTGTTTTAAAAAGYGTTCTASGGAAATTWCATGAACAAATAATATCTTACCTGCTGTCAGGGGTGAAAGTGGTTTTGAATAYGTGCTGGTATTGTGACAAAAACATCATTGACTGTCCTAGTGCAGGCAGCAT